TTTGTTTATTACATGTTACTTATAAACGATGTATTTGGTCAATACGTTCATGACGTTGGTAACAGACCATGTATTTGGTCGATAGATGTTACTTATAAACCATGTATTTGGCCAATAAATGTTTATAACAAACCGTGAATTTGGTCATTAGATGTTATGTATACACCATCTTTTTGGTAAATAGATGTAGGTAACAGTCCAGTATTTTGTCATTAGATTTTACTTATAAACCATGTTTTTGGTAAACAGATGTTGGTAAAGGACCAGTATTTGGTCAACATGGTCAATAGATGTTACTTATAAACCATATGTTTGGTCAATAAATTTGGGTTATGGACTAATACGTATTTTGTCTGTAAATGTTACTTATAGAACGTGTATTTGGTCAATAGATGTTGGTAATAGACCACGAATTTTGTTAATATATATTCCTTCTATTCCAGGTTTTCGGTCAATTGAATTTTATATTTAGATATACATTGTATATAGATCATGTTTTGGCCGGTGGATAAAAGTCATTAAAAGCTTTTTTACTTTTCTAAAGTTTTCCAGAAAGAGTTTCTTTAATTAAAAAACATATTTTTTTTTATGCACAATATATGGATGGGTCATAGAAGAAGGCTACCGTGCTAATCTAACCAAACTTAACTGCTTGTGCCGTTTAGTCTTTATTAGAAAATGCATGCTTAATGTAATCTCTTACCCGTATATTTGATGATTTTTCTGTCTCGTCTAATTCGTTATATTTATTTGAAAGCAGCTTTTTATTAAGGTTAATATTGTTATAAAGTTGCTGTAAAATTTTTGACAAGACCTGTCTTTATGTTGTTTTTTTTTTTTTGCAGTACTTGCTTGGGCTGATATTGTATCACTACTTAGAACTTACCAAATGTTATTCATCACATTCAGTATTTTTACTGTTTGTTTGTTTTATTCATTTGAACACAGTTTTTTATTGAAGGTTAATATTGTATAATAGTTGCTGTAAAAATTGTTGACATGGAAATTGTCTTTATGTTTATTTTGCAGTACTTTCTTGGGCTGATATTGAATCACTACTTAGAACTGTTCAAATATTTTATGTCACGTTCATTAATTTCACTGTTTATTTGTTTTATTTATTTAGACGCAGCTTTGTACATTGTATTAAAAGTTAATATTGTAATAAAGTTGCTGTAAAAATTGTTGACATGGAAATTGTCTTTATGTTTATTTTGCAGTACTTGCTTGGGCTGGTATTGATACACTACTTAGAACTTACCAAATATTATTCATCACATTCAGTATTTTAACTGTTAGTTTGTTTTATTCATTTGAACGTATCTTTGTATTAAAGGTTAATATAGTAATAAAGTTGCTGTAAAAAAATATTAACAAGGACATTGTCTTTAAACTGATATTTTATATTTTTTGCCAAATGCTTGGCCTTTGTTGGTAAGGAAAGATTTATTGCATTACATCTTTTCTGATCGCTTAGCTTACTCCTTCCTAGGCCAAGCTATTGTATTATAATGGTTTTATGTTTTTCATTCATTCTTATCTTGTTGTACAAATGTATATGTAAACTGTATATATTATTTATTTTTATATGAGAAAAATGTTTACTCTTTTACTCTGAATAATTTCGAAATTCACCTTCTTGTTTCTCTTTTCATTTATACATTGCACAATAGAATGTAAAATACAGGAGCTACTCGCTGATTCATAAAAGTTAATGTTAAACCTCTGGTGGTTTGTTTAGGTTACATTTCCTAACTCCTTTGGGTAACTCCCTGCATTACTATGTTTTGACAGGATGACCATTTGTCAGTTTCTAGACAATTCATCTTATTGCATTTTCTTGCTGATCTAAAGATCGATAAACAAGAATTTTATTTGGGATTTTATAAATTTACCTCCTTCCACCCCCTTTCATCTCCTTCAACATTATTTTTTTTGTTAGATGTTCATCTACACTTATGGTCCATTACAAATGTAATTTTTGTAAATATGCCTGTTTTAGGCTATGTTCATCTTCATTTCTGAATGCTTATGTTGCAGGTGTTACATATAGCATTTCAATAGTTTTATATGGCTTAGTTGATCCTTTCCTTGGCCAAGCTATTGTATTCTGTATTATCGTTTTATCGTTTCATGTTTTTTATTCATTATCATCTTTTTGTACAAATGTATATATACAATGGATATATTGTTTATTTTTATATGAGAACAATTTCAACTCTGATTAAGTAAAAGTTTCGCAATTCACCTTCCGTTTTCTCTTTTCATTTATGCATTGCCCAGTAGAATGTAAAATACATAAGCTACTCACTGATTCATACAAGTTGATGTTAAACCTCTGGTGGTTTGTTTGGGTTGTAGGAAGAAAGCATAAATGCAATTATGTCTTTTTCAGTCTAGTTTGATATTGAACAAATCCATAATTTAAACATGTTAAAGTCAGAATAATAAAATTATTAACTTTCAAATTGTTGCATTATTACAAAACTCGTTAGAGATACAAAGATTATAATTAAGTACACCAGAGGGCAATTTAGTCTTAATAAGACACCTCAGTGGCTCTCGTTTAAACAGTTGAATATAATTATATCTACATCTAAACCTTTTTTTCACTTAAAAATTTGTATTGTTACTTTGTTATCTTCTGTCGAAGTGTTACAAAACGGACGAAACGTATCTTTACAAGCCATGATATGACATAAGAGCAAGAGTATACAACTAGATGGACGGAGGAAAAGTTTCCCATTTTAAGGTATTAATCACTCAAAACATGTATCGTCTAAGTGATTTTAACATCGGATAAATACAACGATCGTGTTATGAACAAAGCCTCTTAATGACACAAAAGTAAAAATGTCGTTATTGTTTAAACGGGAAGATCTAGCGAATTCGAGCCTGGAGCCGTTCGTATAAAGTGAACGTCAAATTCATGTTCTATTTTGCAGCTTACTCTAACACATGAGACAAACAGTCCGACAAATAATAATCAACACGACCTCAGATTATTTGCTTGTCGATTGAAATTGAAATTCACCAACATTTTTAAGGTTGCCAGAGCGAGTCATTAAACCAAAATAGCATCATTTCCTCATCAACTGATTTCCCAAACTGATTGTGAATATGTTTCAATCTCGTCTTGGTGAAACGGATTTAACTCGCCTTCCTTAATTTCTTATGCAAACTCTACTTGACTGCACTATAGGAAACTCATTAACCTTCTGTTCGACTTTATCCTCTTACCTTGCATAGACATCGAAGTCGTGGTGTCAATTCATCGCATACAAACCTTTGGTGAATGTTTTTTTCAGCTTGAGTTTGCTCTTTAAAGTTACAAATCGCATTAATCTGCATTTCTAGTTCCAAATTGATCTTACTAGCAATGGTGGTGCCATATTACGACCTATCCACCTAGTCTCCCAGCTTCATTTAAATCCTTTCTCGACCCATCAAATGTCATCTTGGCCCGTATCATCTTCATTAGAGTCCTGTTAATCATCAATCAAAATTCTTCCATGTTGTTAGAGCAATGTTCCAGTTTCTCATTTTTTCAATTCCTGAGTGTTCGATTCATTCTTTCCTACATATACACGTAGTTTAAACAGACCTTAACAGAAATGGGGTTTTTGGTCATGATATTGTTTGAAAATTAACGCATTTTTATTTTTGTTTTTCTTTATTTTACATATTTCTTTAGTTATATTATTATGCGTACTATTCATAAAGTAATTGGTGAATATATCGTCAAGGGCAGAGGAGATATACATTTTTAAGGATGTACACCTCTGAGAAGCCAAAAATTTCTAGAATTAAACTTTTTTTCTTAACCTGATTTTTGGGTTTATATGACTGTAAAAACATTATTGGTGAAGAAAAAATCATATGGTGGTGCACTTCTTTTTTTTTTTGCTACGGCCCTTTGAAAGTACCAAATTTTGATGATTTTCCCATTTTTCATCAATTTTTACCTATTTTTGGGCTATTATCGGGAAAAAAATCACAATTCCACAATTAAACTTTTTTTCATACATTCAATTAAAGAGGAAGTGGACCAATGTGAATAAATTTAACTTAAAAAAACTGTAGGTAGGTGTTAATATAAGAAAGTTTTATCATATTTTGATGCTTTTTTTGTGTCAAATTAACCATGCTGTCAATTTTGTAAATTTGTGATTTTTCTCTGTTTTAAGAACAAAATGCATATTATTTCAACTTTGTTATAAATGATTGAAAAAATAAATATCTAAGAAATTTGAAAAGAAAAAAGTAATATAGGATGTACATGTTTCTGATAAAATCATTTCTTGTACCCCTCACCCATTTTCTCAAAATTTTGGCTAAAAAGACTGACTTGATTGGTAATAATATTTGAAAAATTGATTACTCAAAAACTACTAATTGTAAATACGAAATTTTTCACAGAGTTAAGTTTGATTATAACATTTTTTAAATTCATTGATATTTTCCTCTTGTATCACATGTTTTGGAAATAATTCCAGAACGAGATTTCAACGAAACTGTAACGTCAGAAGAATACATCGTTAACTGCACATTTGAAATTAAGATATTACTATTTATTACCAATCATGAATAAAGTAAAATAATGCGGTTTTTTTTTCATTAACGAGCAAATAAATGGAATGATGCATATTTTTAACCGGATTCTTTATAATGCTTGTTATCAGACTGAGAACGGCAGAAATTACACGTCAATAAATCAGTGCAAATATTCAGAATTTGTTATCTATTTCAAAGCCGAATATAAACCGGTTGTAGATAAACATCGTTGTACAATACATATCAGTTATATCATTGATCTAGAATGATTTGCATACAAATACATCATTTACTCTATTGTTGTCATAGTATGTCTTAGTTCAAAATATCAGCCTTTACTGTAAATAGGGTTCAAGCTTTGAATACAATTACATCATATTCAAACTATTATCAGATGTATCTTATTGCTTAATCTAATCACGATTGGGTTTGTTTTGATGAAACAATAGACAAATTTTGACAAACAATAAACAAATTGTTGTAGTTAGGGTACTTTAACAGGTTTTCATTTGAGTTCATTCATTTAATTTGGATTATGCTATTATAATAGTTCAGAAAAAATACAGTTAAAATGGTGAGTTATACTTGCTATTATTTGATGAAAATATGTATATTGAAGTAAGGAACCTTTATTAACTAATCATATAGCTCTTCAATGGTGTCGGTTCTTATACATCCTTTAATTTTAAGTAATCGGCTTTTGACGTTCCTGATAAAGGTACATCCAGAAAAGCGCTACCGACGCATGACATTTATAACGTGTTGTTTCCTTTTTTAAGCTATATCCGGGTAAAAAATTTATCATAATTGCAAATGTTTCGAATGAAGAGAATAAAATGAATGATGAATAAACATAAAAACAAATGCAATAGAAAAGCGTCTGAGTGTCTCGAAATGGATAATTTAGTTTAAACTATGTTATGAAGTTGTAAGGTTCATACAACTTACATCTTTTTAAAAAGGGATACTGATAGATGAAATGTCGTAAATAACTTGATCTTTAATTGAATCTTAAATGGTGAACTGATCATGACGAATTGGTTACTTTCTTGTTTTTTATAACAAAAGCATCATTTTTCGTGGGGTTTTTTTTCACAGGCGAGGGGTAGGTGGGAGTTATTTATTTTGATGAAAATAAAACTAATGTGCTTAATATGAAATACAAACATTGTCTTTTCAGAATTATGCAAACGTCATTATTTGTACTTGCTTTGCAACTTCGCTAATGGTTCAACATGGTAAAAGTAGTAATGATAGTAAGTTTTACTGTATGACATATGTACTATCAACAGTCAAACTGTATAACATATGTACTGCTAACAGTCTTGCTGTATAACACATGCACTGCTAACAGTTTTACTGTATAACAAATGTACTGCTAACAGTTTTACTGTATAACAAATGTACTGCTAACAGTTTTACTGTATAACATATGTACTGCTCACAATTTTGCTGTATAACATATGCACTGCTAACAGTTTTACTGTATTACAAATGTGCTGCTAACAGTTTTACTGTATAACATATGTACTGCTCACAATTTTACTGTTTAACATAGGTACTGCTCACAATCTTGCTGTTAAGCATACGTATTGCTCACAGTTTTACTGTAAAACAAATGTATTGCTCACAATCTTGCTGTTTAACATATGTATTGCTCACAGTTTTACTGTATAGCAAATGTACTGCTAACAGTTTTACTGTATAACATATGTATTGCCCACAAACTTTCTGTTTAACATAATTATTATTATGTTTTGCTCACAGTTTTACTGTATAACAAATGTACTGCTGACAGTCTTGCTGTATAACGTATGTACTGATCACAGTTTTACTGTATAACGTATGTGCTGATCACAGTTTTACTGTATAACGTATTTACTGATCACAGTTTTACTGTTTAACGTATGTACTGATCACAGTTTTACTGTATAAAGTATGTACTGGTTACAGTTTTAGGGATGCTTGCTCCTCTGTTTCATAATAACAAGCTTTTAACAAAAACTGATATAAAAGGATGGTATATAAATAATGAAACTCAAAAAGCAGAAAAAAGGAAAGGTCCGTGTTCATGTTTTTTGAGAAATGAGCAATTGAAAATTTGGTGGGAAACGAGTCTTTGAAGATTTTACACATATATATAACATTAGCACCTTCATACTTCAAAACTGTAAAAAAGTAACAAGAATTCTATAAGATTTTCGAAAATAGCTTTTTTTAAATAAATTTATTAAATTATGAAAAGAAAAGTAGGAGTATGTATTGGAACTACGTGGATAGAGGATTCCGAATATCTGACAAAGAATCAAAAACAAGAGTAGCGAACATCCAGTTAATAAAGCGTATTAAACAAAAGTAACTACGTGCACTACTTAGTCATATTTGTTTTATCTTCATTCACACATTTTAAAAGTGAAAAAATAGGCCTACTAATTATTTTATTCATGATAATGTACTGAAAAGAAAGTCTGGCATATTGTTTATCGACACGCCGTTCTCTCTTTTTTCATTTTGCTATTTTTTTTTATCTTGAGAATGCATGTTTTTTGGAAGAGTATTGGATCTGGAAAAAAAACAGTTTGAACTTGTCATACATTATCATTAAATCCTTACAGCAAAAAAAGTCAAACGAGCACCAAGAGTAAATTGATATCAAAAGTATTTTAATTAGTTTGATATACGGAGAAGCTTCGAGAATAGTTAAAGGGAGTGAAGCAAGAACAGCTCTGTAATAATGATTGCAATATGACGATGGTGTACGATTTTGCAACATAACCATATGAAAAATAAGATCTGGAAATAAATAAGTTTGCCATGCGCTAAAAAAAAGAGTTTTATAGTGATATCATCAAATAACAAAGTAAAAGCTAAAGACGTAATGTCGAGTGATTTAGCAAAATAAATACTAAGTAAAAAAAGAAAATTCACATGATTAGCCACATATCATTTAATGTAGAATTACAGAAAGCAAATTTATAGCCGAAGGACACTGAAATGAAATACGCAAAAAGATAGGAATACAAGTTACTTGCGTATACGTAACAGAAATCAAAGCAAACGAAAAATATGTGCCCAATAGATACTTTAGGATTAAAAGGTATTCTAAAAAAATATGGGGAAGGCTAATAGTTCACTGAAAATTCATGTGATAGAGTAGAAATAGTTATCGTTCCTTAGTGCTCGCCATTAGTAGGCGTTCCTAGTAATGTCCAATTAATCAAATATTACTATTATGCCTAATTATAAAAAAAAAAAAATTCACCATATACGTAATTACGTATTTTTTTTTTTTTTTTCATCCGCTTTGATCGAAGTAACCATTTCATAGAAACACTAAAGAATGTATTACATTGCTCAAAGAATTATTCAAAAAAGTTTCTAACCTGATCTGAAGAAGGTCAATTTGATTCAACCATTTTTAAATAGTATAGTTAAGAGCAGTAATCCCATGTTGCTGCTCAAGAATTATTACTAAAAATAACGATCAACTCAAAATAGAGAGACATAATTCACAAAAAACGTTAATTGTTAATTTCTCACTTACAGCTACAACAGAACCGACGACAATTTCCACTGCAACAGAGCCGACGATGGCAACTTCAACAACAGCAGAACTGACGACAACTTCAACAACAACAGAACCGACGACAGCTACAGTAACACCAGTAACTAGTGCATCAGGTATACAAGGAATAGGAAATTTGTACTTTTTGATTGATATCATATCATCTTTAAGTTACCGTGTTGTTCTGTCTAGAGTTTGTATCTTCTATACTATTAAATTTGTAGACAAACATTTTTTAGCCGGTTTGCCTCCGAGCTGACGATTGTCTGAAGTATTATATAATAATAAATAGTAAGTGTATGTAATGTACTTTTTAACTTCATATAATAATTTCTTTAATTAGCGTAGCTTAATTTATCAAACCCCAAATGCATTTTCGTAGCTGGTTCCTTACTGTCTACGTTTTGTGAGCGGGCGGAAATGGTTTTGTATTTGTTTTGTCTTGAATTTATGACAACTCGGTCCACGGCCAACTCGCACCATTCAAACACTCTCACTAATTATTACAACTAGCATCACTTTTTCAAACTCTCACCACAAAAAAAAAGAAATATAACAAACTCGAGGAAAAGTGTTACATCATTAGATTCTTCTTCTCTAAGTAAATTCCTCCTTTCTCGGAGCACCCGTGCCACACAGAGACAGAACTCGCACCACTCGAAAAAAAAAATACTACAAACTCGCACCACTGAAGAAACGTTTTAAATCATCAGAGAGTTCTAGATGGTCTTCTCTTAGTTATTTCACACGTTCTTGGTGCTCCCGTATCACACAGAGACAGAACTTGCATGACTCGCACCTTTCGAAAAAAAAAGGAAATACTACAAACTAGCACCACTGAGAAATGTTTTAATCATCAGTGTTCTAGGTTGTCTTCTTCTTCTCTGAGTTACTTCCTCCGTTCTAGGAGCACCTGTGTAACACAGAGACAGAAGCTACAAATTGGACATTCAAACTCCTATGGAAGAAGAACTGACAAATTAATCATAACTATCAACATGATACATCTGTGCATAAAAACAGTTTGAGAAACACGAACCCAAGTTGTGTATCACCATAAACATTTCAAGTAGTCTTCAAGCCGCACTCGCATTGGTTTTTTCTAGTGTTAATTAATATTTTAGATTTGAAAATTGGTAAACTACAGTGACTGATTTCTTTAAAATATTTTTAATTCAATATTAGGGAAATAGTTGACGTGATTATTATACATGGCTATTTATTTACCTAGGTTCCTTTAAAATATGTCTAAAAAATTTAAAAGTGCATTCTGGGGGAAGATATTGGATTCAATGGTTAAACTTTTGTCAATTTGTTGTGCATTTAGAAACAAAACAAAATAGAAAAGGGGGTTTCAACCATGGAATATACCTTTTAAATCCGACAAATTATAGTTGATATGATCAATCATATTTCACATTTGGAAATTTTCAACTAGTGATGCTTATTTGGTCGAGGCTACTGGAAATAATCTCTATGCTTTGTATGCTTAGTCCTCGATACCTACAGACACTGTCAGTAAGATTTATTTGAACATATATAAACCTAAGCGGACGTGGCTGGTTGAAACATATTTTATACATTTGTCAAAGATCCATCCACTCAGACTTGCAAACAATCCGCAAATACCAAGTATGAATTTTTATATCGGTGGCATTTGTGATTAAAAGCCATTTAATAAGAACGTAAAAATAAAAATAAATATCAGTTAGTTTTTACCGAGACAAACACTTTTTTCAATAACACTCAGGTTCGTTTCATTTCAACTTTCATAAAAACAACTATTTTATCGATAATACCGGAGCATTTTGTTTAAAGTCAATGCTGTTTTATTATCAGTTTGAATAGTTAGAAAATATATTTCTCCACTTCATGCCTGAAACAAATCACCTTTTTGCTAGAATTGTAATATCGAACAATAAAAAGACTATGACCTCTACACAAAGTATGAATAGACAGTGATAAAGATACAATCTAGGCTGCATAAGATTAGTGCATTACATAATGAAATGTACCTCTCTACAAAGCTTGCGCAACCTGTATTCGTCGACAATTTCAAATGTTATAATGTGAAATCAATCAAGGCACTATTAAGTGGAATGAGTTAAATTTTCCGGAGCACCTGAGATCATCTCAAGTTTTTGATGGTATTGCGTTGATCTGTCTTTAGTTTTCATTGTGGTGTTTTGAGAACTTTTTGTCTTTGTGTCGTCGTTTCGTTTTTTACCATGGTGTTGTCAGTTTACCTTCGAGTTTTGAAAGCCCTTTGACATCTTCCATCTCTATTTCTTAACATATTGTTCAGAAAACTGTCTATCGTAAAATTATAATTTTATCCTAGAATATATTTATTGTTTGACGTTGAGTTGCTGTCTCTATTACATTTTCCATAATTCCATTGAAGCTAAGAGAACAAGCATGTACATGTAGGAAGTGCTACATGTATATAAAATAAGATGTGGTATGATTGCCAATGAGACAGCTCTCCAACAGATTCAAAATGAAGCGGGTTTAAGCAACTTTGGTACAGCGTACGAGCTTCAACAATAAGCAAAACCCGTACCGTAAAGTCGCTATAAAATACCCCGACAGGACAAAATGTGAAATAATTAAAACCAAAAAACCAACGCCCTTTTTTTTTCTCGTACGGAAATATTCCGTGAAACAAACATTCAGCACATGCTCCGAGAGTAGGCATTGTAGTAATGCACCAAATCAGTACTTGTTAGTGAGAGTCTATGAATAATGTTTTATGTTTGTGTCTTTCCTTTTTTTTTGTTATTGCTATAAAACACAAAACAACAATTTTGTCTTAGGAAAGGGTGTTTTGTGTAATCTACCTAGTAAGGCTTATGTTTCATTTTGCAGGTTCTGGTGACAGTGGAAGTGCATCATTAGTAGTTAATTTTTATCAGATGGCTTTATGCGTCTGTATAAGTATAGCATCATCCAAAAGAACACGTGTGATATCTTCTGGAGTATTGTCATAGATATTTCAAGAAAAAGACGACAAACAAACCTGAAAGAAACCTGAAAGAAACATTGAATTCTTATTTCTTTTTTTTTAATAAACGGGCTAGTTTAGTTAACATAAAACGAAAAAATATTTAAAGATATTTAAAAATCTATGTCTAGGTTAGTCTATGGAAAGGTATATACTATGATATTTAGAGCGAGGGGCTTGCCCCAAGCTCTTAATTTCATAGTATATACCTTTCCATAGACTATCCAATTTAGCACATATTTACAACTCGAGTAATCTTTTAATTGGTCTATTGATAGTTTATTTTGGCTGACTACTTGTATCACAGGTGTTTGTAAAACGGAGCTCATTAACGAATTTTGTAAATCTACTCACTAGTATCATTGTAAAATATGTGATTTCAAAAGGCCCTTCACTCCAGAATGAAAAGATGGTAGCTGCTGGTGTAAGTATGTATACTGATATAAAGCGGTGTTTTACTATACATGTTCTTCTTACATAATAAGTTGACCAAAAACAGGCAATAATTAAATTGCAGTGGAAGCTTTACATGTTTTGAAAACATTTTTTAATTTCACAGTAAAACTAAAGCTATAATAAGTTTGAAACATATAGATAGTTTGTCCCCAAAGATATAGTCTAGCAGATGGGCATTAAAAAGCAACTACAAATAGATCAGAGATTATAGGTTTTGTGTTTTTTTTTTTATTAGTTCAAAGTAAAAACTAAAAGATTTATCAGAATATGTTTATATATATATATATAGGTGGCACATTATCTTCAGACATAATCACAGTTTTTCAATTCATGACATCGTCCTGAACATGCATGAAATATTTGCCACTGGACATTAAGCAACCAATAATCAATAAATCAATCAATTCATGACGAAATAGATCACTTTCCTTAAGAAAGTGTAAAAAATTATCACCAAGTTGCTTTAATTTTCCTTTACAAGGTTTCATAGTACACACTTTTCTGTGTACAAAGTAATTGCATGGATGATACATTATCATAATTTTAAGATATCGTTGTACTCTAATCAAGGTATAAAGAACCATATGTATTACCCTTTATTTAAATGATAAAATTTGCAATTGTCAAAAACATTTTTTAGATCCAAAGGTTTTAATAGCAGGATATTTAAAATCAATGTGAAAACTAATTACAAACTATTTAATTTAATTTGGAACACAGCATTTTATTTCAAAATAGCCAGTGGCAATTTTTGTTTTAAATATCTTGATTACGATACAATGAAATCTTACCCTTGTGGTCATTCATGCGTAGTTACTTAGTACACAGGAAAAGTATGTACTATGAAAATTAGAAGGCAAATATAAGCAATTTGATTGGACGAGAAGTTGTAAGTATGTGCTAATTATTATTAACCGTGGTTTCTTTGTTAGGTATTAACGCGCTTAACATCAGTGTAGATAAAATAGTCAACAACATATGAACAGATGTTCTCTGCATTAAACGACGTTTTAATTAGCCAATTGATTTATTTCTAAAAATCTGCCCGGTTAAATTGACTGAACACTTTTAAGTTTGACTTTCATAAAGTACCGTCAATTTCGTTTTTTTTTTTTTTTTCAGAAAAAATAAATTCATCAGGACTAGCTAGTGTCTTTTTTTTACGTTCGTATACGGTGAGATTGTAACTGTAACGTTCAACAATTGAAACGTTTGCAATTATATTTGGCCAGTGCATGTGTGTGCGTGTATTTATTTTATGATAAACAACGTTTGATCCTAATGGAGATGGTCTTAGAACTATACTACTTTATGTGTATATGCTAATTAGAAGCATTTGGTTTTTTTTTTGCATTAATATAATGCATCTTATTTTATTTAAAACTTATATTTCTTAAATTATCATAATAATAGGTACATGTATAAAAATAAAAACAATGTACAAAATTAACAAACGGAAAAAGTACAAAGCAAAAAAAGTTCAGAAAAGCCGTTCATCACGAAAACGATTATAAATGACATTTGTGTAACATGGTACCGCAAATTTGCAGATGTAACTTTGTTGGGCCAAATTTGAGACGACGAAGTATATATTATATATATATATTAATAATTTGTGAAAATATATATCATGTATTCTTTTGTTGCAATTTTATG